CCGGAGACTGCCAGATGACCCCGCTCGGAGCGCCGCCCACCGGAGCAGCAGTGACGCGACGCTCGGCGAGGGAAGTAAGAAGAAAAGAAAAAAAACCCCGCAGCGTCAGTACAGCAGGGATGAGTCAGCGGCGCGCTGGTCAGACGAGAGGAGCTCCAGGTGGGGTTGTAATTATCGGGCAGGCAGTGAGGGGAGATTTGGGGGGATTTATTAAGCAATTATATATGTATTGTCTGCACTGTATTAGCAGTATATACTCTATATGGAGTATATACTGCTAATACAGTGCAGACAATACATTTACAATTATACTAACATGAATGGATTAAATGATCTGTATGTAGCCCTGTACTATGGATCATTTAACCCATTCATGTTAGCAGAGGATCATTGTAAATGTATTGTTGCAGGCACTCTATATGCACATGTACTATATACTACATATAGAATGCACTGAACAATAGATTTACAATTATCCTCTGCTAATATGAATGGGTTAAATGATCCGTAGTACATAATATGCAGCCCTGTACCCCCTTTTCCACTTACAGAGCTAGGTTATTGTTTTTCTTTTAAATAAATATTCATGTAATTTTATTGGTATCTATCTACCATTAGCTGCCTCATTTCCCACCCTCGGCTTATATTCGGGTCAATACTTTTTCCCAGTTTTTTGTGGTAAAATTAGGTACCTCGGCTTATATTCGGGACGGCTTATACTCGATATACGGTATATATATATAGGTCTTTCTAATTGTGTGAGACAATGGGAGTGTTTGGTCACCACATTACCAGCAAAAGGAGGGCAGTGGAGTACTACAGTAATGACTGAATATAATAATGAAGCATTGATTGGGTAGGCTATGTTCCCTGTATGCATCTCAACATATTATTTTTCCCTTGAATGTACCAATTTTTCATTTCAGGTTCACATACAGCTGTTTACAGTACAGTAAGAAAGAGTCATGGTGGACTGTTAGGCCTCATTTCACACCACTAAGAGCCGGTCCTTACAGATCCGTGCGTCGTGCACGGCCGTATCAGGCCGCTCCCAGGAAGGACAGGTGCTGTGTGTGGTGTGATTGTACTCAGCAGCATGTTCTTCTCTATGGGAGTACGTGGCCGTACGCTCACTTGAACTGTACAGCCGTGCGGGTGCTCGGATGCAGACAGGATCCAAACGAGTACGGACACCCGCACGGATGCGCAGCACAGGTGAGCATCTGGCAGCATACTCCCTTAGAGAAGAACAGGCTGCTGTGTACAATCACACGCAGCACCTGTCCTTACCGGGAGCAGCCCGATACGGCTGTGCACGCCGCACGGATCTGTACAGGCCGGCTCTTAGCAGTGAGAATGAGGCCTTAGGCCCCACTCACACCAGATCCATTGCCATCAGTTTTTCAATGGATGTTAATGGAAGGTAACCCATAAAATGAACGAATGAGTGTGAATGAAACCAGTTCACACCTCTCCATTCCACTGAAAAAAGTAGAACATACATTGCACTGAAAAAAGTGGCATAACACAACACAAAAAGGTGTAAACTAGTCGCATTCATACCCATTCATTTTTTGGTGCCCTTGCGTTAGCATCCACTGAAAAACAGATCACAACGCAACAGATCAGAATGAAATCGGAAGACCCTCAATAATCTATTTTTCACTCAGATATTTGACAAATTTAATGCAAAACACAAACATACTTCCTGTTCTTGTTTGAAAAATGCAAATAGAACTTTGCCAGATAACACCAAACAATGTTTTCGGCACGGAATTTATGGAACAATCTCTTATATAAAACATCATACATTTCAAAGATCTGGTGGCTGTTGTTTTAGGTCTATTGCTAGGGTAGACAATTTTTTTTTTAAAAGAACCAAATACAATTCAGTGAACATGAAGATTCCTAACATTCAAGGGTTAAAAAATAATTAAAAAATAATTGCAGATGATGGATAATTATTTCATAATATTCAGCTGGTAAAAATGTTCTGAGAAATGTATTCCATAATAGCAACTGTTAATATCACAGGGCAAGGATAAATGCTCCATGCATAAACCTTTAGAAACCTTGAATGTTCATGCTAAAATCATGCATTGTTCAATCACTTGCAGTCACTCCTATAATGCAAAGATATTAGAGGTCCATCAAAACAGAAAACATTAGCTGTGTGGGGCCAGCCTAGAACAATTTATGCCTGTGCTGTATAATTAGAACATACACAAACATATTTCACTTCTAATAATCTCAACATTAAAAAAACATCACAACATCTGTAGCAAGAATTCCTAACCTTTTCTTGTGCTAACTGATAATATTTATATATTATGACTTATTTAACCATTAGGCTTAATGATCGAGAACGATTAAGCATCCTATTACATACCATGGTCATCCAGCAGAATATTTTCTGGTTTTAAATCCCTGTTAAAAGACAAAGATATCCACAAATGAGAATATCACATAGAAAACAATGGACAATTACACTGCTCCACCAAGATAACCTCTTGGGAGTATTTGAACCAAATTATGGAAATATGGGGCCTCTGGATAATTAGGAAAAAATAAATAAAAAAATCACCAAACATGATTTAACCCGAAATCTGAGAAATTTAAGGAAAATTATATATATATATATATATATATATATTGTGCATTTATAATTGCAGCTTCTATACAAAATGATAGAATACTTATGATTTTCTTTCAGTTGTTATCCATATGTAAAGTGCTTTGACAGCGTTTGGCATCATATTGGTCCTACTAGGGCTGGTGATGATGATTTGTGCAGTAAGGTAAAGGGGTTTTGGAGACATATTGGGCAATTCATGGGGTTTTGCAGTCGTAAAAAGTTTATGAACCCCTGATCTAAATAACGCAATTAGTAAAACTGAACAAAATGATTCTATACTTTACAGTATTTGAAAAACAATTCCAATTATGTCCTTTTGGTTGGTGTAAGCTTGTTTTGAGTATGCATACACTGACAGAAATACCAGCTATACCCAAAGCTTTGTTTAACCCCTTCGTGACGGGGGACGTACAGTGTACGTCTTGTCACGTTGTGCCTATATGACTGGCCACGTACACTGTACGTGACGAGTTATATCAGGCTTTGTAATGCCGGTATTTGCTGATTCTCAGCATTTAACAGTCATTCATTAATGTCTCAGTATTGAGGCATTATTTAATGAAATAATTAAGCTTTTTGTAAAAGCTTCTTCCTTTCATTAATGAAAGAATGAAGCCGTTACATGCAAATAGAGGACCGCAATTTGCGATCCCGTATTTGACAGCTCAAAATAGCAGAGAGGCAGCAGTGACTCACCTCACCTCTCTGCTATTTGTTTTGACAGCTCGAGAGCCCGATGTTTAGATACATTTCACTGAAAGGATACAATGTATATCTTTTGAGTGAAATGTATCATTTCTGATCGTCTAGGCACGATCAAAGAGCTTTTAGTGAGATCTGAATCTGACTAAAGTCAGGATCAGTCTCTAAGGTTATTATTAGCTGTTCCTAAGTTTGGATCAGCCTAATAGCCAAAAATAAAATAAAAAAGTTAATTTATCAAGCTGTCATAGTGATTGCTTGATATAAACTGACAAGAAAAAAAAAAAATTTATTTTATTTTTATTTTTTTTACAAAGTGTAAAAACATTAAAATAAAGTGTAAAACAAAATTAGGAAAATATAAATTATATATAAATATATTTTTTATACTATAATTAATATAAAAAAATTCTAAAAAAAAAAATAATAATAATCAAAACTTGTCAAAAAAGTGTTTTCTTCTAGTTTTTTTCCTCATTTTTTTTATTTTAGTCAAACTAAGTGAGGGGTTAGGTACACATATGTGATATAATTATATAGCCCTATCTGTCCTCTAAAAAACAATATATAATATGTGTGGGTACATTTAGTAAGAAAGTATATTACTGACGTGGAAGAACCACGCAGCAAAAATGTAAAAAATGTGTCAGTCATTTATGAACAGAACCTGAAAACTAGCTCAGTCATGAAGGGGTTAAAGATAGTGTGATTGCACAATACATGTTTTAAGTATAAGTGCATATATACATTACAATTTTAGCAAAACATGGTGACAAATTATCTATAGGTCAGTCTTATTCCAAAGGGACAACGTGATGGAATAGGTTGGAAAGCAGATATCCTGCAGTTCCTGGCTGGGTGCAATTGGGTACTGACCACAGTCAAAGATGAGGTATATTCACCTAGTGCTGGGCCCTTATAACTGAAGGTTTCTGGAAGCAGTCCGCTTCTCCTCCTCTTTATCATATTCTAATCTGCCCTAGAAATATAAAGGTGTAGCTATAACATTATTACATTTAGTAATAAGGTTGCTGATATTTCCAAACACTGGTCTTCAGAGAATACGTGTATGTATTTTCTGAATTCCAGGTAGGAGAATAAAATTCATGCAAATAATTTGTTTACCTATGATTCATTAGAGACAACAAGAAAATGCAGTTAATATATGACTGTTGTGGTGGTGTAATGCTATACAAGGGCTCGTGCACACCACAGAGCACATGTAATTATGTGAATAATGCACATTTAGCTGCACACTAGGTCTGCTGCATTGCCAAGTGTTAACATGCATCACAGTGCTTTCTTTTTTGGTTCTCCCCCCAAGTTCAATGAAACGTAGAGTGCGATGGAATGTGCTGCACACAAATGCAACATGTCCTGTTTTCTTTTAGAGCACACCACACAGGTTGGTGTGACATTAAGCCATAGGACATAAAGCAAGTTGCCTTGTTCTTGCACCCAAGATCTGCCCAAATCTGCCAGTGTGAATGAGCCCTAAGGGGTTTATTAGTTATTGATCACAGGTGTTTATATATGACGTTTTAGCAACTGACCTCCAACCAGCACTTATCTAGATGTTGTACTGTATGGCAGACAGCTGTCAATACGCAACAACTGCCTCTATTGTGCTTTAGTCCAGCAGAGCAAAACTCCAAAATGGGGATGAGTCTATTGGGGTGATTTACTAACCTAAACACACACACACACCAGGTGTGTGTGATTTTCACACAGCAAAACGTATTTATCAACCAAAAAGTCTCTAAAAGCATATTTCCACTAATGCCATATATGGAAAAATCATGCACATGATGCATATATAATGCTGCTTCACAGTTTAGACAAAAATGGTTAGCTCATGCATTTACATTCCTGCATTCATCAACGCAAGCAACATAACATAGAGCTAATTTACACCACATTACCTTGCAATTCATTGCAGGGTTTTGCACAACACACCTGCTGGGTGTGTACACACTACAAAGGTGTTTCGATTCCTCCCATAGATCATGCTGGGAGGGAACACACTACAGAGGTGTATACACGTTCGTGGTGTGTTTAAAAGGTTAGTAAATCAACCCCTATAAGCTTTCTCAAGCCGGCCCTCTTGTCATACCAACATTTCATGTTTTGTGGACATCCACAATGGTATGCAAGTTGCCTTGCACAGACAAATTACTTCAAGAGTGCATGTGAGGTTATCTATAAAACATGCATTGGTGGAATCTAGAGACAAGTTTATTAAACACTGGCTTAATGTAACAAGGATCTGGCTGCAAGTGCCTAGGAGCTGGCTTTATATCAACCATGTTGACTGTTATCCTTGGATCATGCTTAGACGAGACCAAAAATCTGGTTGCATGGACAGAGTATGCTGTCACCATATGGCTATTTGTTTCCTCACACATTATAAAAGGTCCAGAAGGGGTACCGAACTTCTGGATTGTGCAAATTTGCCCATCCATGCGAAAATCTGACAGCGGCTGATTTATAAGGACAGGGCAGGCTTTTGGACAGCCATAGATTTGAATTGCAAGATCAATCCATTTTTCTATACACCTGTACAAACTTTTAGCAATGGACCCCATGGTTGACTGATCCTGCAGGGAAATAGGGGGGAGTTTCAGACAGTTGCCATAATTTTTCAGAGATAAGATGGCACAGAAAGGTGTCAGGGTGGGTCAAAATAGTCATGCTTTCCCCACAGCAGCTTATATTTACCTTTCTCGTATCCCCATGTTGCTCTGTTTTCCCAGGGAAGCGAGAAATGGACATGCCCACAACTTTTGGGTATGCAGAAGCCTAAGACTCTTTCCGCTTCCACCCGTATGACACAGTGGAGCATGACAATTGCCTATTCGCATTGTCAGATAGGGTAGCGAGACATACCTTCTCACTCCTGCAGGCAAACAAACAGTCGAGAGAGTGAAGGAAAAGAAAAAAAAACATAGGCAGCTGAGGGCATCAACATTAAAGTGAACTTGTTGACTAGCCCTCTACTGGCAAAACCCATGTTCATTTTGCAACAAAGGGTTTCAATACAGTCTTCAATGTTAGGGCATTGTGTCACAGCAATGCAGAGCTCGATCTATGGATCATCTCCAATATCCTATGCAGGTAAAAGGAAAAGTAAAAGATAACCAACACTGTCCTTGACTTACAATACGAAAGTGTCAAAAGGTTTACAGTTGGGAACTTAAAAGTTTTTAATTGTCTAATCATATATATTTTAATGTCTCATAAGAAATATCTACCACAATATCACACTTTGCATTTGGATGGCCAAGTAACCTCCAGCCACAAGTATCCACATGTGCAGAAAGTGTGTCTTTCCAATGGCTGCAAGGCATATTGTGATGACAACAAATAACTAATTATGGCTTTCACTGACAGCAGCATACTCTGAGCAATAGGCAATCCTCAAGAGATATTGATCTTTACAACATGGTTATAAAACTAGCTATTTGTTTTACTTGAACAAATACCAAAAGTAGTAAACTGAATATTTGTGGGTTAGTAACATACAACATGCAGCTAATGAACACCATATAAACTAAATAGGCTGCAGTAGCTTAGAAAGGATTATTTTCCAACGTAGTTTTATAGCATTGATCTGCCCTAAAACATGACATACATGGTTGCTTGAAAGTTGTAAAAAATATATAAATCTCAATGCATTATATATTTCTACATACCTGTATACTATTCTTTCTTGATGTAGATCTTGGAGGCCACAACAGATTTCTGCAGCAGTATTAAGCCCACATCCAGCAAAGCAAGGACCTGTCTTCACCCATTACCATGCAGTATCAGATTACATTCATGGACTCCATAAGCAGACATTAATGGAGTGTAGAACAACAGTTCCTTAATTCCACATGTCTAATGAGTAGATTAAACAGCCTAGATATATCTATGCCTTCCAAGGATGGCAATCATGGTTTGATGGTGATAATATCTGGTTTATAATTCATTCAGTGACAACTGGGTTGAACTGCTGCCTACAAGGTGATTTGGACACACAAAAAACAAAAACACAACAACAGTGACCCACTGAGGGACTTTCCCCAGGGTGGGAAAGTCCCTTAATGAACTTTAAAAAATGGATTTTATGGGAAATACAAAAATCCAATTTTTTTTCTTGTTCATTGAGAAACACAGGATTCAATGGCAATTTGAAGGTTCAAAAGCAGTCCAACTTGAGGGATGGGCAACAGCAGTAAAAACTAACCAGCCCACATAACAGAACTCAGGACTGCTTGAACAACCTTATGCCTAAAATTGGGATCCAATGAGGCCTGAACTTCCACCTGTTTAGACTTCGAAAACGTGTGAACTGAAGACCAGCTAGCAGTCTTGCACATTTGGGAAACAGTTGCCTGATGCTGAAAAGTCCAAGCAGAACTGACAGAACTAGTGGAGTGCACTTTAATAGGAAAGGGTAGAACCAAGTAATATAAAACTATAAGCTTGGATGATGACCTAAGCCATGATAAATCGTGGAATGAAAAGCTGGGTGCTCTCTCCAGGGACCATGGGGAAAAAGGAAGAGAGTCGATCCTTCCAATGGAAGCAGTTGCTGGGAGATAGACATGCACAGCACTTACTACATCCAGACAACAAAGCAAGATCTCCTTTAGATGCATTGGAACAGGACAGAATGATGGAAAAACCAATTTCCTGGTAGAGGTGAAAAGCCGAAAACCACCTTGGCAAGGAAGGAGGCTCTAGGCCGTAACACCACTTTGTCTTAATGTAATACCAAAAACATTTCTTTATCGAACAAAGCTACAAGCTCAGAAACTCATAGAAGTGATGGTGACAAAGAAAGCAACATTGTAAATAAGAGTGAAAAGGGGAATATCCCCGATAGGTTCAAAAAGCAATTTGGAGGTATACAGAGCCAACTGCTGATCCAGGCCCAATGGCAAAAAGATGAGGATTTGCCCGATGGGAGTATTTTCTAGGATGAAAGTTTCTTTCCTCGTACCAAACAAAGTATGCCTTTTATGTCCATTGGTAGACCTTGTGGGAAATGGACTGACTTAACATTGCAGAAAATCACAGATTCTGAGATTCCTCTGTCATACTGTTAAAGCCAGCAACTGCGAAGCTGGATGATAAACTGTCCTTGAGACAAAAATGTCCTGATGATCAGGGAGAGTCTACAGAACATCTGCCAATAGCCTGATCAGGTACCACATCCACCTGGGCCAATCTGGAGCTATAAGTATTACCAGAATGTCCTACATTTTGATTCTGCAGCACAGACAGGGGAAGGGTTTTAAGGGAGGAAAAGCAAAAATCAGACTGTACTGATCCCAATAAGCCACCTGAACATCTATTGCTTCTGCTGGAGGATCTCTGTATCTGGAGATTTAACTTTGTGATGTATTTGGCACCTTGGACATTTAAAGCTCTTAAAAGTGATGAATTATGATCCAATAGGAGTGCCTCAGTGGGGTTATGCTGGCGTCCTGCAGCAGCAGCAGGTAGCTGGCAGCCCCGCTCCGGGCCTTACGCAGGGGCTAGCCCACCCGTGGAGTCTATGCATAGGCTATCTTGGTTTTATTAGAGTTCGCACGGGCTCATGAGTGGGAGGTCCTTTGTTTCCCGCAGATGTCGTATTATGTCCAGATTTATGGTGATGCCTTGCACTAGCTAGTACATGACTGTCATGCTGTAACCCATCAGTGAACCGTTCTAACAATGTACCGTGATGTTTTTTCCCACATGCGCCTTCTGGCATTGTTTCCTTGTGGATGGAACGTATTTCTGTTTATGTTTTTTCTCAATAAAAATATTTGTACAACAATAGGAGTGCCTCTGCACAAATTTGCTATATACTAAATTATATAAAAAGAGCACTGCTTACTTTTATTACACAGTTTAAATCTGAATTCCAAATATACTGTAAATATTTAAAGATACACTTACATTGGATCAGCTTCCAATGCAAGTATACATATTTTATACCTGGTAGAGCCATATTGATCCTGTAATACACTGTAGTAGCCAGAGCTTTTACAGTGCTTTACAGGAATCTTCTGGGTACGGTATGCCGTTCACCTTCCTGGCAGAATCAGTTTTTAAATGGCTTGTTGCATCAGCGGCCTCTGAGCCTTCTGCTGCAGAGGCTCTGTCTGATGACGAGTCATCAGAAATCCTTAATAGTCGATATTGCTCCTGAGGAATCCCAGGCCACTGCCCATACTCCCAGACTTAGAGAGGCCATTTCAGGTCTTATTGATGCAGTGCAAACCACTTTGAAACTGGAAGATCAGCCTGTGGCTTTCTAATAGTGGTGCAACATGTCTGGGACCCATTGGAGGCCCCCAAGACTACCAAGGCATTCATATAAAACAAAGATATTAGAAATAATCTTGATATTATTATATATGCAAGCTTATGTGGTTTACTTTGAGTAAATAAATGTTTTTTTTATGTTTTTTTTTTCTTTGTTTTTAAGGTAGGCGATAGTGCCACTTTAATATTTTTGTATTTATATTGTTGCAATAACCTGTTTGAAAATATCCTATACAAATATTAGGTTTTAAAGCAGGGTATCCTAAGATTACCTACATTCATATATTTTTGATTAGGCACCAGCAATAAACACCCGATAGAGGTTCTAACCTTTCCCTCCTTCCCTACTCTACTGAAAAAAAGTGTTTTTATGGCACTCTGCTTTGGAGATATTTCCCATTACTTCCAACTTGCCACCGGGACTGCAATGGACACACAGCGAAAAACTCGCAGTGTGTTCCAATCCTGCTATGTAGGGTTGGAAAAGCAACAGGGTCACTTTAATGCTAGCCCCACAGCAGCTTATATTTACCTTTCTCGTATCCCCATGTTGCTCTGTTATAAAATATTGCTCGTTCTTCATCAAATCCAGAGTCACCCATGTGATAAATGTGAAACTTCAAATCACCTCCATTCATTAGTGTTAGCACCAGACAGAGAGCGTCTTTTGTCTCATACGCATAAGCCAGACTAACCTGCAAGTTAAATATTCACCTTGAATATATGGAATGATGAGATTTTACACTCTTATCAAAACTTTGTGGCATGCAAATCAGATTTGAAAGGAAGATACTGCATGATGTATTGTCATGAGGACTACCTGGGCACATGCCCTCAAGTGCACATACAAGCCTAATTTTCCACATTTACACACCCTACACTAGTAGATTTCCAATGAACTTTCATAACAAAAGATCTTTCTTAACCACCCGATAATGCCATCAGATACTTGACAAATGTCAATCGAAATTGTGTTTCATTTTGACGTTCGATTTTGGGATAAATGGAGTTTCCCAAACAAAAACCACATTCACTGTTAGAATTACGTTTGAGAAAAATGTTCTATCCTGCTCCTCCAACTAATAGAAAGAAGAAAATCTAAGCAGTATAAGGCCAGCTCAAGTCCTAAATGGACTAAAGCTCTAGTATTGCTGGAGGTCATATTTATGAAACCTCCCTTTCCTTACCCCTTTAATTATTATTTTATTGCTTTTTATATTTTTTTACCATTCATATGTAAGCATTATTAATTTATGCTTGTTTTTGCTGCATCACATTAAAAATTCACACAAAATGTTTAAAAAACACATTTAATTTATTTCATATAGCTATGTCATCCATTGTACCAGAAAGAGTATTAATGGGGCAAATACCACATTAAAAATTGTGCTCCATAGCTAAACCAACTTGTTTTAAAGAATTTTTTTTTTCCTGTTGCACCTTTAGATTGCATAGAAAGTTAATGCTGACAAAAGAAAGATAGATATATCAACCAGAAAAAAAAAAAATCTATAATATGTCCTCGATTTTTTTTGTTGCTTGATAGACATGTGCACACTTAAACATTTTGTTATCAACTAAATGTATTAGTTGCTAACGAAAGTCTCTGTTTACATCTTGCTGCTGCGCCTGATAGCTAGATTCCTCAGCTGGCAGGTGAATGTAAACAACAGGGCAGTGGGCCTGTGCAATTGCCAGCCTGCTATTTGCTATGGCAATTTGAAATAGCCAATAGCAGAATCTAACAAACATTTTTTATGGGGGTTTTAGGAGGCGCACACCATTTCATTAGTGTAAAAATAATAATTTTATTCCAAAACAGCTGCCTATAAAATTAATTTTTCGATACAATGAACAAAAAAAACACATTAATTTGATCTCCTTCATATCGTCAATAGAATGCAATTGTGGCTGCGGGAGGCAAATGGAAAAGAAAGGGGATCAAATAATTTGTTTTTATGTATAATTGTACGGAAAAATACATTTTATTGAAAGCTATCTGTAAAAAAATGTAAAAAAGTCAAGGCAACTGGACTTGCTGTATTTTTTCTTGAAGACGTTTCACTGGTCATCCAACCAGCTTTCTCAATTCAGAATGACTTGTACAAAAATTCTCTGGGAATAAATATGGTAAATGTTGCTCCAATCCACACAATCTGGTAATTGCCACCAGGTGTTGATCGCATTTGCATAATTGGAGCTAGGAGGTGTTATTAACCTGCCCAGAGAGAGGTGTTAAAACAGCATTGTATGTGGCAGACAATAGATGTCTCACCATTTTAAACCAGTCCTCCTCCCCGTCTAGGATGCGTACTTGACTGTCTTCAAATGAGTGACCTTTTTCCTTTAGATGTAGGTACACTGCTGTGCCATACGCTGCCATTCAGCTCACTTTCCAGTAACGCTAAGTAATGTAATGTAAGTCCTACATTTTTAATTTCTCCTGCCTTCTCTCTTCACCCTTTTGTGAATAGCTCTGCTAATCTCCAGAATAGGTCTCTTGTCTATATGCAACTGATTCTTTGGCTGAAATGCTGGTCTGCAGAGCCCCCTTGCAATAAGCACATTGAATGCATGCCCTTCACTGGGGAATGCCTGTTCAGGAAATCCTTAAATACGTATATCTAAGGAAGTAACAGGGGGGGAAAAAGCACTAAGCCTCCAGCGGGTAAATCCTCAAACTCCTGCTTCACGAAAGGTTCCTTTAGGCCCTTCCAAGCCTCTGGCTTCAAATCTAAGCCAAGCTCTCAATTTCAAATCCTGGCCCTCCAAGGCCATGAAATAGGTGGTGAAGGGGCACACATACTGTGGGGGTATGTCAGCCTTCTCAGCCCCCTGGGTCTGGGACATTTCCGAAACTTGGATCCAGTGCCTCATACCAAAAGTTCACAAAATGAGGCCTAAGGCCTCATTTCTTTCTAAAGTGACCTCTGACTTCCATAATAAGGATGGTAAAAAAAAATGTCCTGCTCCAAAGCATCCTAAAAAAGGGTAAAGTTTCCCCCTTTATGGTAAGGGCTCACTCAACTAGGAGCATTAGTACTTCTTGGGCCTTTCCCCATCAGGCTTAAGTTTCCTAAATTTGTAAGGTGGCTGCATTGTCCTCTGTTCACACTTTTGCCATGTATTACCAGGTGGATGCACAAGCCTCTGTGGATGCTAGGTTCAGTCACAAGGTTCTTTAGGTGGCCCTCTAATATGTGGGCCCCGTCTGTTAGGCTGTGAAAACAAGAACTAACCCTTTTACTTTTGCATGTAAAATTCACTTCTTGGAGTACATCACAGGACTCTTGCCGCTGGTTTCGGTTATTTACTCTTAAGGTGCCCATACACCTTACGACCATCGCAAGACTTTTGTCTTGCGATGGTCGTATGCTCATTAAAAGCCCGTACGATCTGCCCACCTTGGACGGGCAGATCGTACTTGCGATCATCGGAAGCCCGCCCCGCTGAGGGGCGGGCTTCCGATGACGGCAATGCAGAACGGGCAGTGTGCGCACACTGGCCCGTTCCGCAGCTATCGGGCTAGCAGGCTAGAAACCCGCCGAGAATCGTACGATTCTCGGCTGGTTTTCAAGCATGTTGGCTCGACAAAAGACGTGCGACCGTACAGTAGAAACGGTCGCACGTCTTAGTTCACACTGCTCGATTCTCGTACGATCGCGGGATTTCGCCCGATTCTCGTACGAGAATCGAGCAGTGTATGGGCACCTTTATAGTGCTTGCTACAAAACTGAGGCAGACTGGGAGTGGGAGGGGTTATCAGGCTGTCTAAGTGTCCAATCATCTGAAATCATCCGTTGAAGAATTAACTCCATGCATCCTGTGATGTACTCCAAGAAATGGATTTCACAAGACACAAATCACATTTTCTTGTGCAACCATTGGCAGTGTAAGCAGAGTAAGCATTCACAATTCAAAGACCATTTAGTGCCTATATTCAACTCAAAAAAGTGTAAGGACTACCCTATCTGCAAATACCAATACATTTTTTTTAACTTTTTCCTTTATACACACAGATGCAGTCATTTTCTATGTAATCAATGCCCCCTTGCCTGCTTTATCATCGATCCCTAGAACTATGGATGAATCTGTACTTACTACAAACCTGCTGTTGACTCTCTCCAAGATCTGCTTCTCATTTAAGGCCATGGACTCCCCTTTCCGTTTCTTAATGCGTTTCTTCTCGAGCTTCTTGCATGCATACATCTTGCCTGTTGCTCGTACTTGGCAGGCACAAACCTAGATACAGTAATTTAATAAAGAGAAGGATGTCAGTTTTGATTTAACAAATATTTTGGCTACTAAATATTTCCTTTGCTTGTCTATGTGCAGAAAACACTCCACAAATTGCTGGTCACAAAGCAGCAACCGGCTTTAAACTGAACAGGAAAAGAAGGAAAAAAAATCGAGAGCACTCACGGCAAAGTCCCTCTTCTACTCTCTTTTTTACACAATAAAAAACATTTTTTTTTTAGCAAAGACTAAAACACACAAAAAAAACATCTAGCCAATGACCATTTCTCCGGGCATGCTCACTTTTATTCACATCAGTTGTTCTGAGTGATCAAGATATAGTTGCTCCAAACATTGTCCAAGATGATGGTTTATTTTTAAACAGGGTTTTAGAGTGCATTAAAAAAATGGTCCTCGAAAGCACGAGTACTAGTAGTCTTTGCTACTGTTTCACTCATTGATACATGTGAGAACAGTAAATTCACATTTTCTCAAGGCACTTGGCTCTACCTACTCTCAGGTCAAGCCTGTTTGAAGGAAGTGTAGTATAGAGCTATAGAGTTGTAGCGGATAAAAAGTAAAAAAGGAGGTGCAGGAAATGTAGTACAGAGCAATGAGCAGGAGGTATAGCATGGGTTAATGGAACCTCACTCTAGGGAGGATATGAGTAATGAAACACCTGAGTGTAATAAAAACCAGGCATGCCCCGAGTGTACGTAGATCCAAGTGCCTTAAGCAAGTGTGCATGTAAGCACGATAGACATTTGTCCAGATGGTTTTTATTGTTTATTATGTTTTTTTATAGGCAAATTACTTTTCTTTATTGTGATTGTTGGTAGAACCAAGTGCATTGAGAAAATGTGCTAACTATGGAAAACGGTCGTTGGCTGCATGATTTTTACTGTTTTCTTGCTAATATTGTTTTTTTTGATACAATATTTAAGAGTGATTTACTGTTAGTGCCCTGGATTCCCTTTTCTGGATGGTGTGGATTTAGTTACCTCGGCTATGGGCACCGAGACCCGCTGCTGTGATAACACAGAGGAATAAGTGTGGGATCTCCGCGTGCAAACCTCTTCTATACAAGTCTACGCTCCCTCTGAAGACACCAATGGCGAGTGCCACATATCTTTTGAAATGTATTGTTGAGGAAAAAAAGAAAAAAACAAACAAGCAACAATATATCCAATAGTCTTTGCAAAAAAAGTAGGAGAAACATCATGATTGGTCTACCAGGATACCCTACAGGTTCGAGTTTTTGGCCAGTGGCTACTGCGATTCTCTGTAAAAGTGGTGCGGAGGGCATCAGAAATTTTTTGAAATAAGTGTTCATATCTATGAAACGCTGCAAAAATGAAGGTTATTGGGTGAATAGATTTTGCAGACATGTTCAGCGCCATCTATTGTCTATACCCAGCAGTACAGTCAGCAATAAACAGACAGAAATTTGATCTGAATGGAAAATAGTTTTTGCGACTTACCATAAAACCCTTTTCTTCTAGTGCATGAAGGGGCATTGGACTACATACTCAGGTACATAGGGATATGCTACTGCCTTCAGGAGATTGGAAAATGGCAAACAAAAACCTTAAGGACAGCCCAGTATAACCTCTCCTACTCCCATCATGCTGAAGTCTTGTACCAAAGCAATAGCTGGAGCGGATCAAATGAACAGCGGGTAGTGATCTAGATCTCTTAATGTAATTTACATAAAGGATTTTATGGCAAATCAGACATCGTACTTTCTTAGCAACACAGGATTAGGTATTCAGGTACATTGGGATATCCAAAAGCAGTCAAGCTCAGGGGCAGGCAATACAGCAAACGAAAGTTACATGCCCACAAAAATCAAAAGGTTGGTAGAGGGCACTCAATAGAGCCTACAGAGTCGTCTGAAGAACCTTACGACAGAAGGTGGCTGAACTAGTAAATTTTATTATGAGTTGTAAACTAAAATCCCTGTCTGTCCTAACAAAAGGATTAAAGACTTTGAGGCATTGTATGTTAAGGAGAGGAAGCTCAGTCTGACCATCTAAGTGAAGCTGTAGTTGAGAGACTCAAACTGCTGCTCATACCACATCCAGACAATGGAGGTGTTGTGTAGCAAGATAAAAGGAGAACAATGTGCTGGGTAAGAAGAAGGGAAGAAACCACCTCAAGAAAAAAAGGATTCCTTGGGTGTTGGACAAGAAAGTGTTGTTTCCTGAGTAAGTCCGCCAACTTCCAAACTCACCTCTCAGAGAACATGGCAAAAAGTAAAGCAAATAAAGCAAGTAAAAGTTGGAATACCCCTGTTTGGAGGTTTCTGAAGAACCGTCAGAACTAGACCGAGAATGTGAGTGACACCCTGTATAAAAGGCCTTTACTAAGGAGTGAGAGTCTTTGAAAAAGAACTGCCAGGGCTGAGATTCAAACCTTGATGGTACCAAAGGCTAAATGCTAACCAGTCTGGAGAAAAGACAGGATTTGTTCCACATAGTACTTTCTAGGATGGAATTTCCTTGCCTCACACTGTGATAAATATGTTTTCGAGGTGTGATGATAGGTTTTCCAAGACTATTTCCCAGCCTTTGGGATAATCAAATCAGATAGGCCCCTATCCCTTAGGGCTTCATCTCTATCTTTGGTTTTATCTTAAGAAACAAACAATGTTGGAATGTTTTCTAATCTAATTCAGCTAGATATGCATTCCATTCCTAAATAAATCTTACTGCTAATTATATACAACCAACAGGGACATTTTCTGCATACTAGACAGTACATCATGACCGTTGCCCAACTATTGATTTCCAGGTGAAATAGCCAACCAAAGAATTATCCCTACCAAATTTATTTATAACCAGCTAATAATTATTAAAAAGTACTAACGTGGGAAAATCCTTAAAGGGAAACTTTTGAGGAGGAATAAAAAAAAAAGAAGAAAAATCCTCTCTGGGTGATTGGTGTACATTGCAAGGAAAACAAACTTTTTTGTTTGCCAGTTTCTGTTCTAAAGAAATAGCAGTTTGTTGCAGCATGTCCTTTCCAAACTGATCCCTGAATGTGTCTCGGTTCATTATAATCAGCCGGTGGGCTTCCTGCGTTGTAATAAGGAAAGGTGCAATGTCGGCATCCCTTTAGTAGTTATTAACCCTTAGGGAGTACCTCACCAGAAATTAAATTCCTATTGCAATGAATGCCTAAAATTGTGCTTGTATTTAAGTGCAGACTTCTGGGAAAATCGGTCAGTCAATCACAGAAGCAGGAAGCGACATTTCCGGGGGAGTGCTATACAAAAATACCTCCTGGTCACTATATTGCACTGAATTTTGTTGACAGATTAATATTAAGGCGGCTACAGTTTTAATTGAAAAGGTCATTTTTAATAACATTAAATTACAAAATGGATTGTGCGACAATTATATATGCTACATTGATGTAAGATTTTTATTCATCTTTTTTTTTTTTTTTTTAAGTGGATTTACTCTTTAAAATGTACATTTCAGCAGATGTATTTATATCCTACTATAAACATGAAGTAGAATAGATTTTTGAGTGTAGTTTTGTGGTTTCTGCTTTTTTAAGGAAGTTCTACTGGGTATAGTATGAATAATGTACATATGTGACACTTGCTTTACAAACCAAGGAACTGAAAGAAAGACAAGTCCCAGATGGTTGGCTCAATAGCAAATCCAACATTTGCAAGTGAATTTTCACTTTTGCAGTGAAATTGGAGAAGAAACCTCTACATGACACAGGTCAAAAAGGAAGTTAATTATGTAACTAATTGGACACTGACAAATCAAGGCTCTAAGATAGCCCTGTATAACACTTCCCACTCCCAGCCTGCCTCTGTTTTGTAGTAAGCACTACAAGAGTGGATCACAGAAAACAGAGGGGAGGGTCTTGTGATGTACTCCAAGACACTATCTACAAGTAAGGCAAAAATCCTGTGTTTTTATTGACCATACATCACAGCATATAAGGAGTTAATTCTTCAATGAATGGGGCGTCCAAAAGCAGTCCAACAGAGGGGCAGGCAACACTGCAAACAACGGCAAAAAGGCCTGTGAAAACAACTAATCCCAACAGGAAACAGGGGCCCACATATTAGAGGTCCCCTTAAAAAACCTTGCGGTCGAAGCTATCATCCCCAGGGGCTTGCAGATCCACCTGGTAAAACTTGCCAAAAGTGTGAACAGAGGACCAGGAAACAGATTTTCAGGCAAGACAAAGATACCGTTTTCTTAATTTCACGACATAAGGAGTTAATTCCTCAGCAAATGGGACATCCAAAAGCAGCCAGCATAATAATCAACAGATAATAGGCCTGAGAAAATAATTACCATGGAGGACTGTCTGAAGAATCAAAGCCAACATCTGCAAAGTCCTAAATGTCCACGTGGTAAAACTTGGCAAAAGGCTGAACAGAGGGCCAAGTGCAAATTTGGGAAACTGAAGCCTGCTGCTGGAAAGCCCAAAAAGTGCTAAAGCTCCTGCCATAGTTTGTATGGTATGTACAGCAAAGGCCCAGGAATACCTGGGCCTGCTGACAAACCTATCAGTTTGTTGTTGAACCTGGATGCCAAGAGGCACACATCCAGTGTACCCCACCTGAGACAAGGGTTCCGAAATAACTCTGGGATCACGATGTTGATGATTGAGGGAGTCCACCTGCCAATTTTCCACATGATGTACACGGCGAGCAGGGCCAGAACATGAAGTTCAGCCCAAGCCAGGATCAGGTCAGCTTCTATTTGAGCTATGCGACTTCTGCTGCCCAGCCTTTGATTGATGTAGGCCACAGCCATGGTGTTGCCTGATTGAGTCTTGGACAGGTGGCCCTGTAACGTGGGGATCTAGCATTAAAAAAAAGGGACAAACTCTAGGAGCTCTAGGATTCTAATCAGAAGATCAGATTCCTCCACCAACCAGGTCCCTTGAACCAAGAGTTTCCCAGGACTCCTCCTGACAGGCTGGGATCCATCTTAATCACCTTACGGTATATCGCGAAGAAAGATTTCCCCGATTCCAATCCCAGATTGGAGATACACCACATTAGGGCAAGTGAATGGGGAAATCCAGGGATTGAGCAAGTTTGTTTCATGCAGCAAGAATTCTGAGCTGCAACAGTCTGGAGTGACATTGTGCTAATAGAGCCTCGAAGGAAGCTACCATCAAGCCTAGCACCTTCATTCAAAAGCAAGTGGCCGCACAACTCTTGTACCACAAGGTCCAAGCACGAGAGTGGAGAGATTGGATCTTTTCTAGGTTAAGGAAGGCCCTGGACAGGGTCATGTCCAAGAGACCAGGATCAGGTACTCCAACAGATAGGAGGCTTCCAGCAATGACTTCTAGGGGTTCAGGATCCATCCAAAGATCTGAACAGTTTCTATCGTCTGATGATGTTGGACAACAATGCTTTTGGTTGACTTCTCTGGTCCAGGTAGCCCACTATGGTGATGCCCCAAGATTGAAGCAGAGCTAAAGCAGGGGCCAGCACTTTTGGCGAAGAACTGAGGCACAGTGGGGAGGTTTAATGGCAGGGCAACAAATTGGTAGTGTTGTGCACCACAGTAAAATGCAGGTTGATGGGCAAGAAAAATGGCCATGTGCAAATATGCATCCTTGATGTCCAGATTGCACCTGTAATTTTTGTACTCGCAGAAACCCATGGCGGATCTTAAGATTGAGAATTTGTTGGCATCCACCCCCTCCTTTTAAACAAGAAATGGCAGGGTCTACAACAGGGACAGCCCTTTTAATAGGGTATTGCTGAGCAAACTGTTTAGCAAGAGTAAACAGTAAAAGTTTATCAGGGTGATCCCAGTCACCATACAACACCGGCTGTAAGAGCATGTGTCAGGTTTGGAGGTTTTCAGGGAACTCAAACTAGCGACCTTTGGCAAAGTAAAGGCAGGTGGTTTGAACTGTAAACAATCAAGACCCGCATGCACAAGGATGGAGATAGTGTCCTTGAGCTTGGAAGAGATACCAGGAGACTGGTCCTCTTCCTAGGCTGAATAATCATCGTCATCATCACTAACTTCTTTCCTCACAGGTGCATTGTTCTACTACTATCAAACAATTATTACAAAAGAGAAAGGAACGCATAATGCAACGACCAGACCTTGCTTATTTTAGTGCAGGGTTAGGGGAGAGGGAGAGGAGGGGACAGCAGCACCAGCGATTTCTTAGTAGACATACAGGCCATTACAGTAAAAATGTTGCTTACGGTGACGGGAGGATGCTAGTTTGTGTCCTCCCATTATGTGGAAAAGCCCTAACCCCATAGTTCTCCATTAAAGAATACATTTTATAAATAGTTTTCCTTGCACATGATTAAGCATTTTTGAAAAATAAATTTTTACTTAGTTTCACTTCATTCACAAAGTAAACATTCACGATGCAAAGTGAACATGCTCTTCTCCTTTAGTAATTAAACCCCAAATTATCTGACCTAGGTATGAGCATACATTGTGCAAGGGAAAAATAAAGTGTGGAGGAATACAATTAGAGACTTGCGAGCAAGACTTTCAAGCAGACTTTTAAAGCACTTAAAAAATGAATAATATATCCAGACCTCATACAGATTTGGATGTAAATTCTAAAATAATCCAGCTATCACCCTGTATTGGAAATGTGTGGGGCAATAGTGTGGTGCGGTTGTGGATACTGCTGCATTGTATGGATTACTTTCTGGGTCATCGCACATGAGAACACTAGCTGCATTACGTGGGTGGGTTTCCTTTAGATGCTCAATTTCCTCTCACTGCCTTAACATATACTCATACATACGTGTCTGATAACATCATTGTAACCATGAGATGTATACATGAGAATTGTCACTGTCTTGTTATTGTCTTTTTGTATTTGATTTACTTTATCCATCTGTTGGTGGAATGAAAATTAATAAAGACATGTTTAAAAAAAAAAACATATACTCATACTGACTTTACACCTTAGCCAAGTGTGTATCCGTGTGACTGTGACCGGCACGATAGATTATAGCATCCACTGAGGCAAGGACCAATGTGAAGGGTCTAAGTACTCTTAACTCTTTTGCTGCCAGAACAAAAATGCTTCCCCCTATTTTTCACACCCAAGTTAAAATGTAAATTTTTATTACATGAAAACCCCATAAACATTTATTTCCTTTCCTCTCACTCCCTGTTCCTTATCTAATCTTTAACAAAACTTCTCACATTGTTTACTTTCATCCCATTAATACATCTAAAACTTCCTGCTTCGGACTATCCCTTAAGGCAGGTTCGTTGACCTCTTGTATACACAGTAGAGATAGATCGATCTATATCTATACATCGATAGATAGAGCGATAGATCACAAAGGACAGGATAGTCTTCAGCGACCATCCATCTACTAGTTAGAGAAGGGAAGAGTAAGCAGTGGAGAGCAGGAGGTTTCATGCCTTGGAGTAGGGTGTACACTGGAAACGTTTTTTTTTCCTTTTTGGGGTCTCTGAGGGATTCCAGAGCAGTAACAGTGCTAGAAGAAGCTACAGGCTGTTCTTCCACTTTTAAAAAGAGGAAATCTGGCTATTAACAAAATTAACCCTTGCAGTTGGGCTACTCCCACACTACAAGGGTTAATTGCTTTGAAGATATACTCACCTGTTCCTTGGTCCTGTGGCAGTGAGCACTCACCTCTCTCCACCTCCACTTTCTTTGGCTGTGGTATGTCCCTTGGCACCCTCATGTTCAATGCAGGTAAAGGACCAGCATTAGACATGATGACGTCAGTGAAACTTCGACTGCCGGTAAACAAGGGAGAAGAGGCTGCCGGGCGTAGTTTAGCAAACAGGTGGCATCAAGGATCGGGTAAGTATATCTTCTTTAATCCAGCCCCTAGAACAAGACAAGCAGCTAATCCTTGAAGTGCAGGGGTAGCTCCACTGCATAGTTAATCGTGTTAATTCTTTTTTGAGGTGGCACGCACCACATCAATAAGAGCTGAAATGGTCTCTCTACTCTTTAGGGACAATATCATCTGGCAAGGATTTTTGAAGATTCGTAGAAAATATATAAATGGGGGAAGGAAAACTTTTGATTGTATACTAAGTAATTAAATTAGTATTTCATGGTGAGCCCCCTTTCAATAATTAGAACAGAAAAAGAACACCCCAGAAGAGGGGATCTCACCATTCATCCAAATATGCAACAATGTCAATAAAATGTAATTTATTAAACTATACTTTGTCTTGGTTTTTTTAAAAATCATAGAAAAACATGTATCAAAACATGAACAAACATTAAACATGAGGAGAGCACTCGGCTGAGTGAGATTATATTCAGCAAAACAAATAAAGTGATCGGTGCACCCCTGTAATGAATTTACTTTGTCGGGATCACTTTATTTGTTTTGCTGAATACAATCTCACTCAGCCGAGTGCTCTCCTCATGTTTAATGTTTGTTCATGTTTTGATACATGTTTTTCTATGATTTTTAAAAAAACCAAGACAAAGTATAGTTTAATAAATTACATTTTATTGACATTGTTGCATATTTGGATGTATGGAGAGATCCCCTCTTCTTGAGAAAAAGAAAAGCAATTGGTTAGTAAAAATTGTTTATGGTATGATGTGCATACCTGCACATTATGGCAAACGCTTACAGCAGAAAGCATTTTGTTAGCCAACGGACAAATGTGGAAAATCCCTTGTTGAGCTATACAACAATAGAGAAACACAGAAGAATTTCTAAATATTTTGATTATAAAAACATTAACTGGTACTCTTACATTTCCTTAGTACGTTTGCAAAATTATCAGAGCTTTTTGAATAATGTCCAACTCTATTTACTGGGATTAGAAGTGCTCTTCTCTCATCTCCAAATAGTCCATTAAAAGCATGCAATTTGGATTATGATTGCTTTAACTAGAACAGCTAGTAATTGGCAGCATGAGGGAAGACATTACACAGATAATTCAAAGAAAGCCGTAGAGAAAGAATGGGGAGGTGCAGAACATGGCCCTCATCTCTAAAGGTCTTGAGGGAAGAATTATTTTCGTTGTCCATAGAAACCAGTCAGTCATGTATTTCATACCTTCGTGGATTACATTACAGAATGAAAGAGTGAATCTGACTGGTTGTATAAGCAGCTCTATACTGCAAACAAAGATGGCCATTCAGTGGCATGCCATGTGATGTTCTCATTACTGCCTATGAGAGCACATACTGCGTCATAAACTCATCTCTATTCATTTGTGCAGTATCAGCTGACACACATAGGTTTTTTTCTTCCTTGCAGAATCCTGTATTTTTTCCTTTTTTAATCTGCCAAGGCTGTGCGTGGTTCCACCCACACAGCTGCATCATCCATTCACAGGATCTGTGAATGGAAAGAGGGACTCATAGATCTCAATAAAGCACAAATGTGGTGCTGTCACTGGACTTGTAGTCCACAGATTACTTCCTCCTGCCTCAAACAAAAAGGGACTGAAGGAATAGTGTGCAGGAGCTTGTGCATTGCAACCGCGATCCACTGGTTGTGGCTGCAATGCTTTGAAGGCTGAAATGCAAAAAATAAGAAATGCATATTTTTTTTCCGCTCTCATTAATATGTGTGCATTTATTATTTTTCAAAAGGTGAATTTGGGATTTAAGTTCCCTTCTGCTCTTCATTGACTTGAATGATGGCCATATATTGAGGATCTCCAGTGATTGAAGAGGATATAAAACACTGGGCCAGAGTTAGTAAGTGACTGGCTGGGCTTGGGATGGGAAGGGGGGGTTGGGAGTGGAAATTAGTCGAGTTAAGTTATGAGGTCCTGGAGGGGGGGGAGGGGGGTTTATCATTAGTTTAGGTAAATCTAGACTTGTCCTTTAGGGTCCACTAAATGTCATATCATATTAGTTCTTACCTCACCAAATCCTCCTTTGCCCAGAACTCTGTATTGTCGAAATGTATTCTTTGTGACCGGCTGCCTGATAAGAATGACAAGCAGAGGATGAGAAACGGATATACTATCTCATGTGTCGTTATTCACACCTATTTCTACATCTGTCGCATTCAGGCCCAAAAGGAGTAAAAGTACTTGGCAGGACTGTATTAAATGCTCACCTCTCTAGCCATTTCCACTGTAAAAAGCGATTGTAATATTGGCTATCCAGGTAGTCTGAAAATGGAGCCATGCTGAGGAAGTCATGGACAAGTCTGAAAGAAAAATAAAACATACAAATGTAAAAAAAGGAGAAGATAATACTACTACCAAGACCAGGTTGGGTATACATGTCCCTTAAGATTACTTTATACTGTCATAAGACTGAGACAATTAATTTCATATTCATACAGAGTATTGTAATAAGTCACATGCCATTTGTGAGCCTTGGCTTACTTAGAACAGTCTTTAAACAGTTCTTTGCATGGATTGTTCTCCAAGCTGTCTCGACAACCAGTGACCAGCTGCTCGGGGACCTCTGTGATATAATCTTCACTCTGTTAAACATGAAAAAAAATAAAAAAAGTAGCTCAGCAGATTTTCTATAACTAATTATAAACTAGCTCTAAACAGTAAATTCATGTAATGTATGCAGCACTGTATAATTCGTGGGATCACGAATTATCACATTAGACACACATAAAGACAGACATTACAAAAGAAAAGCATACATTGAGAAAAGAACCAATGACCTTCACTAAATAGCACAGAACATTAAATAAAGGCATAGGCATTCCAAGGTGTTATACAAGTATGTTCAGGACTACAATGGAGAGAGGTTTTCCCTCAAATGATGGGGCAGGACACAGAGGAGGTCTCCCACAAATCCAGACATCCCAACTCTCCTGGACGTTCCGAGAGTCTCCAGCTATTAGATAGCGGCTCCCGGCCGCCCAGGAGTGGAACATTTTCTCCTGGAAAGGTTTAATTTGCTCAATCTAGCAGAGTAAATATTTTCCTGCTATCCGTTTATTTTTTATTTTTTTTCCGACATCAGTGCCGCCGTCAGTAAGAGAAAAAAAATACCAGCATAGGAATGAATAGCTAGGCTTCTATTGCATATTGCAATAGCAGACTAGCTATTGCACCCGCCCACTGCTGCTGTCAATCAGCAGAGGTGGACCTGGAGTTCTCAATCAGGTCCTCCCCTGTTGATTGACCGCAGCAGAGGGCAGGTGCAATAGCCAGCTTGCTATTGGAGAGTGAAATAGCCAATAGCAATCTAGCTATTCATTCCTATGCTAATTTTTTATTTATTCTGACGGCAGCTTCTTTATTATCTGCCATCATTTAGGGGGGTGTTCTGGACAGAGGGCACCTCCCTGAAACTACTTTTTTCAGGTTGTGATCCCTGCAAATCCTCTCCTGTTGTGGAATTCAGCCAAGACCAATTTGTCTTAACGTAGAATAACAAGGAGATTTACTGATACACATGTGGGCACTTTCCTCATCAGGATACACATACATTATATGTATACAGTGGTACATACATTTTAGCAGGAGTATTTATAACCCACGGAGATGTGCAGAAGTACATTAGTTAATAGACAAAAAAAAATTAGCTTCCCAGTGGCCCTAAAACATTCTTCCTAACCTCTTAAGGAAACCTGTTTAATGACCTAGAAGGAACCATGGGCAGTTGGCATTGCTATTAGACAAAAAGGAGCCTAAACATGTACGTTTATTATAGTTAGGTTCAATTCTTTGTCACTCCAGTTGTGTCTGATCCTCTACACTTTTTTCTTGGCTCCCACAGAGCTTTTTAGTGTCTATATTCATTTATCCATCTCTATAAGGCAAAGTCCTGGAATAAACTATTGCTATAATGGTTATATGAAGTTAAGTTACACACAGTTAAAAGTGTCTGTAAAAATCAGCTAAATATGTTAATAAAAAGAAACACAAAAAGCAGCTAAATATGAACGTTAAAGACCAACTAAACTTCATGTTTATAGCCACTGAACACATTCCAGGTTCCTCAGTACAAAAGGTGTGCGCATTTTTACAGTCTGTTTTCTTTAGAGAGCAGCCTAGGTAGAAACGCCTATATGTGTATAAATATATGGGCTCCTATTCTATACCCTATCAATATCCCCACCCAGTGGATAACGAAACAGCTGCAGTGTATCTCAGTGCCCCACTGTTATTAAAAAAAAACAATAAATGAACACCACATTATATATTGCGTTAGTTGATAATCAATAGTGGGCCTTCAACTGTGAACTACTATACCCATCAGGCCCCCAAATCATTAAAACCCAAAAACACACACATCAAATAGTTACTAAAGTTGCAAAAGGAAATATAATACAACAAAGCAAACTCTTAGATACAACAAAGTCCCAAAAATGTAAGCTCAGCCCATACATCAAACTAACCACCATGTACAAAAACAATCCAAACTAGTGATGATCTTCATTCAAACACAGTGACGATCTTCAATGTGCTCCACCTTAAAAAGGTCCTTCTTGTGATCCACCCTTGTGTAATCCGCTGCTCAGACAAAAGAGACCAGATATTGAGCATTTGGGCAAGTACTCGCTCTCGCCCAAATGCTGCAATACCGGAACTTCCGGCAGTGCTGCGATGGAGCATGGAGCTGGCTTCTTGGCCAATCAGGTACCGGTCAACGGGTCATGACCTGCCTCCCAGCTTGCCAATTGGCTAGGAAGCCAGGTTCACTCTGCCTAGCGACACTGCGAGGCAGCCTGGCTTCCTGACCAATAAGGAAGCCAGTTGGCAAGTCATGACCCATCCCACGGCTACCTCATTGGCTAGGAAGCTGGTTTCTGGCTGCCTAGCGACTCTGTGAGGCAGTCTGGCTTCCAGATCCACCAGGAAGCCGGACGGCAGGTCATGACCATGACTGAGCCTCGGTCTGAGCTTCAGCTGAAGTGACACTAAACTCAGACGTCAAATCTTAAAAATGCATTCAATTACCTTAACTATTAACAAAAATGTATCTTATCTGTGCATCACTCAGCTGTAGATCCTCAAATCATCTCTGAATTGGTGTGGACACTGTCCTTCCTTCTGGAGGGTGGCTACTTTTGTTCCCCATGGTCCATGAGTGCTGTAATGTAGTCACCACTCCAAGCTCGCTCCTGTGATGGGCTATAATTTCAACACAAGTTAGCTAACTAAATGTGAGCTTGCAGTCCAATCACACGAGTGAGCTTGGAGCAGTGGCTACTTTACAACACGCAAGTTGTAAAGTAGCCAAAGCTCCAGTTATTTCATTGTACCTTGGACTGAGCTCCAGTTCAGTGACTGTGCCTTGGCCTGGGCTCCAGTTAACAGATTGTGCCTGGGCCTGGGCTCCAGTTAACAGATTGTGCCTTGGCCTGGGCTCCAGTTAACAGATTGTTCCTCACCCTGAGCTCCAGTTAAGGGATTGTGCCTTGGCCTTGGCCTGGGCTCCAGTTAAGAGATTGTTCCTCACCCTGAGCTCCAGTTAAGGGATTGTGCCTTGGCCTGGGAGGTATATCTAAGGAGAATGTTGTTCCAAGTCTGCTGAAATCACACATCACTAAGCATGTACACACTTATGAAAAACTATAGATTGCTAAATCTTCTTAAGGACATAAGTGTAATTAGGTTTGTCTGTATTGTAAAATATTATTTTTGGACGTCACTGCTCAGATGTTAAATAGTTTTCAAAACTTCATTACAATAAAAATATAGTGCAGTGCTCCCCAACCTTTTTATCGCCGCGGACCGGTCAACGTTTAATAATTCAACCACTTCAGCTCTTGTACCTTTATCCCCCTTGTGGACCAAAGCAAATTTTACATTTCCACTATGGGCCTGTTTCAGCAATAACTTTGTCATTGCTTAAGATAAAGTATTACATACATAAGGAGAATTTATCAAAACTGGAGCAGCTGTGCATGGCGACCAGCTTCTCTGTTTCATTTTTAAATAACTGAAAAAGCTGAAGAGAGAAGCTGATTAGATTATGGGGACAAATTAGGCTTTCTTTTGGCAATATTGTCTTGCAAAAGTTATTTTATTTTTTTAAATTATTTTTACCAGTGTTAGTTTTTACAAAAAGTAGTTTTACTGGAAACAAAAGTATATATATTTTATTCTGCAATTTGTCCCTGTAATTAAAAAAAATATAGGTAACAACCACTGTGTCTTAGCTGGCTGCGTTGACCCTGGACTTAATGAAGCACATTGGACCAACACCAGCAGATGACATGGCTCCCCAAATCAACACAGACTGTGGAAACTTCACACTGGACTTCAAGCATCTTGCAGTGTGTGCCTCTCCGTTCTTCCCCCATACTCTGGGTCCTTGGTTTCCAAATGAGATGCAAAATTTGCTCTCATCAGAAAAGAGGACTTTGGACCACTGAGCAACAGACCAGGTCTGTTTTTCTTTAGCCCAGGTAAGACGCTTCTGACGTTGTTTGTTGTTCAGGAGTGGCTTGACAAGAGGAATACGACATTTGAAGCCCATGTCCAGGATCCGTCTGTGTGTGGTGGCTCTTGATGCACTGACTCCAGCCTCCTTCCACTCCTTGTGAAAGTCCCCAACACTTTTGAATGGCCTTTTCCTGACAATCCTCTCCAGGCTGCGGTCATCCCTGCTGCTTGTGCACCTTTTTCTTCCACACTTTTCCCTTCCACATAACTTTCTATTAATGTGCTTTGATACAGCACTTTGGGAACATCCAACTTCTTTTGCAATTACCTTTTGAGGCTTTCCCTCCTTATGGAGGGTGTCAATGATGGTTTTCTGCACAACTGTCAGGTCAGCAGTCTTTCCCATGATTGTGATTCCTACTGAACCAGACTGAGAGCCCATTTAAAGGCTCAGGAACCCTTTGCAGGTGTTATGGCTTAATTAGCTGATTAGAGTGGGACACTTTGAGCCTAGAATATTGCACCTTTTCACAATATTCTAATTTTCTGAGATTGTGGATTTGGGGTTTTCATGAGCTGTAAGCCATAATCATCACAATTATGACAAATCACGGCTTGAACTATCTTGCTTTGCATGTAATGAGTCTATCTCATATATTAGTTTCACCTTTTAAGTTGCATTAGTGAAATAAATGAACTTTTGCACGATATTCTAATTATTCGAGTTTCACCTGTTTTTTGAAGGCTGATTTTTGAAGGGAGTTGACAATTGAGTGAAAATGCAATTCAATTATCCAATCATGTAAACCTGCTTATTTAAAATTTAATAAGAAGCTACTCAACATTTTTAGTAAACCAGCCTTAATCTTTCTTTAACGTGTTCATTTACCTTTATAGAAAAGAAAAAAACAAAAACAAAAACACCTTTATTGCCCTTAAACACCATGCCATCACAATGAACTAAGCAGCTTTTAACAATAAGCATTAATGCTGTTTTATAAAGCTTGTGCCCATTCTTGCAACAAATGAAGCACTCCCCACAAATCTTCTGTCTTCGATTCAGGATGGACCAGTCATTGGTACAAGAGCCCCTATGTGAAGTGGATGGAGCTCCATCCTGCTTTTG